ACAAGATATCTGATATGTGTTCCTCCCACTTGGCGTCTGTCTCCCAGAGAGAGAGAGGGAGAGAGGGAGGGAGGGATATAGATAGATAGATAGATAGATAGATAGATAGATAGATAGATAGATAGGTAGGTAGGTAGGTAGGTAGGTAGGTAGGTAGGTAGGTAGGTAGAGTGTGTTGTGCGTGGTATGTATGTGTTCTTCCCACTTGGCCTCTGCCTGCCTCTTTCTGTCAGAGAGAGAGAGAGTGTGTGTTTTGCACGTGGTATGTATGTGCTTCACTTGGCCTTTGCCTGCCTCTCTCTGTCTCCCATTGGGATGTGTGTGTGTTTTCTGTCACCCATCGTGTGTGGTGTGTGTGGGGTCCACGATGTGTGGGTGTGCATGTGTTCCTCCCAGTTGGCCTCTTCCTGCCTCGTTCTTTCTGTCTCCCAACTGGATATATGTATATGTATACGTGTGTGTGTGTGTGTGTGTGTGTGTGTGTTTGCTCGCTCGCTCTGCCTCTCTCTGTTTCTGTCACCCATTGTTTGTATAGGTGTGTGTGTGCATGTGCGTTTCGCCTGCCTCTCTCTGTCTATCCTGGGGTTGGTCACGCAGTATGCATGGTCAGCGTGGCCTGCCTGTGCTCACTTACTCATCTGTTGAGAACACCTGCCCGTGGCCCCCCACACCCAGAGGACAAGCTCTCCAGCGTTTGCACTCACGTCTTGGGAGAAAGTCCACAGTACCCGCGGCCAGCGTGCGACGTGGCGTGGCGGGTGCAGTGGTCACTGTAGGTCGGTAAGCCGTGCGTACACGCATGCCACACTGACCCTGGATCAATGTCCCTGCTCTCTCTGCTCCTCCCCTCCTGTCTTCGCTCTTCCTGGATCCGGGTGAGCGAAGCTGGGGGCCCAGAGTTGGAGCCTGGCTGGACCCCTGGGCCGCTGTAATTGCTTCAGGATGTCTAGGAGCGTTTGGAAAGTCTGAGCAAATTCTGGGCATGGGAAGGAGCTGGGGCGAAGCCCTGCTCTGAGGTCCAGATGTGCTTTACGTCTTTGTGTGCGTGGGACAGGGATTGGAACTGGCCCTTCGAGGGATCTTGCTGTGGCCTTTATTTCCAGCTGTGGCTACTGTGTCTGTGAGATGGCTCTGTGACTGAGACCCCTTTTCTGCTGTGAGGACCCCTGCATCCAGGCTCCAGGCTCCCTTTACCCCTGAACATCAGCACCGGGGGCCTGAACTCTCCCTTCTTTGCCCTCTGAGCCGGTGGCTTTGTCACTTCATAGTTGGGCGCGTCAACGATTGGTCTCATCTATAAAATGGGAAGAAGAGTCTCTTTCTCTCCCAGGGTTTCTGCAAAGGTTTACGTGAATTAAGATTTATGAGTGGCTTTGAAGCAAGAATTGGCAGATGACAGCCACAAGCCAAATTGGCCCCAGCCTGGATTGTGTGTGTGTGTGTGTGTGTCTCTCTCTCCCCCCCCAAACTGGAACAAGTCTTTCTTCAATCTTTCTGTTTTTTATTGTCATCTTTAACGAAAGTTTACAGAAAAGTTGGATTTGCATTCATTCATTGTTGGTACATTTTCCTCCCAGCCCCCACCAGTTCACTTTAAATATAAAAATATTCATTCACTGTTTCATCATTTCCTCCTTTCCCCCATCCCTCCCCAGTCCACTTTGCCATGTACCCTAACCCATTTCTAATGACATTTTTTATTACCTTTTTTTAAATTTATTTAAATGAAAAGTTTACAGAGACTTAGGGGTTTCCAGTCATTCATTGTTGCACTTTTCTCCCTGCCCATGCCCTCCCCCAAATTCACTCTTCTCCTTGAAAAGAAAAAGTCAGACTCTTTCATTGTTATGCAGTCCCTTCCCCCAAGTCCACTCCACTGTACAGCCTTCACTCTGGACTCCTGACATGACAAGAATACCCTATCATATGTCCCTTTTAAACACTTCTCTCCCTCATCTGTTACAATGCAGTATACATCATTCCTCCCCTCCTTCTTTGTCTTCCCTCAACCCTGATGCCAGTCCTGTTTTACAACAGTGGCCCAGTGCAATATTTGTCCTTTTGTGACTGAGATATTTCACTCAGCACAATGTCCTCCAGGGTCGCCCATTTTGCATAATATTTCATGTTGTTATTAAGTGTCGTCGAGTTGTTGGCGACTCATAGTGACTCTATGAACGAAGTCCTGGACACTTTCTGTATAACTTTCGTCCTTTCTCCAGGTTCATAGGGTTTCCAGAGGCAAGCTGTTGTGGCAGTGGATGCCACTCCTGCTTCCAAAATATTTCATGAGTTCCTTGTTTTTCAGGGCTGCATAGTATTCCACTGTGTGAATATACCAGAGCTTCTCCATCCATTTATTTGTTGATGGGCACTTGGGTTGTGTCCAGCTCTTTGCTATTGTGAACAAGGCAGCAATAAACATGGGTGTGCATTCTAGTGACATTTTTGGGGGACACGTCCCACCCATTTGTTTTCTCTGCTAATTTCAGGAGTCCTTAAGAGAATCTGGTCTGAAAAAACAACGTATTCAAATTTTGTAAAAACTAGTATAATTTTTTTTTAAAGAGCTCTGGTTGCGTCCTCTGGGTGACAGCTAAGCCCCAAGTGATGCCTCTGGTGGTTCAAATCCACCAGCGGTGCCGAGGGAGAAGGGTGAGCACTGACCTCTACGGGCTTGGGAACCCAGCGCAGGGTCAGCTGTGAGTCAGTTCTGACTTGAGGGCCTTGAGATGCGTGCGTCAGACATGGGGCTGCTAAGAGAACGGGCGGTGGTTTGAATTCACCAGCTGCTCGGGGAAAATGATGGAGCCTCCTTCAGGAAAACGTTACAGCCTTGGAAACACTGCCGTTGTTGTTGTACGCTGTCGAGTCGACTGATTCGTAACGATCCTGTGAGCTGCAGATCTGAGCGTGCCCGATCCTGTGCCCACCTCCTCCTCCTCATCTCTGACATACTTGAGCCTGCGGGTACAGTCTCTGTGCCAGACCATCTTGTGGGGGTCTTCCTCAGAGCCTCGGCCATCCCCAGCATGATGTCCTTCTCCGAGGACCCCAAGTCAACGCGTGAAAGCATCACCATCCCTGCCTCCAAGGAGCCCCCCTAGGTGCACTTACTTCCTCTCGGATAGGCTGACTTGTCCTCTTGACCGTCCGGGGGACACTCAGGTCTCTTCTCCAGTACCACAGCTCAGAGGCACCCATCTTTTTAAAAAAATTTTTTTGTTATTATTATTAATTTTAATGAAAATTTACAGAGATTTTGGATTTCCATTCATTCATTGTTGCACTTTTCTCCCCGCCCACCCCTCTCCTCCAGTTTGCTCTTTGAAAAGTAAAAGAAAAATTCTTTCGTTGTTATATGATCCCTCCCTCCCAAGTCCACTCCACTATGCAGCCTTCGTTCTGGGTTCCTGTCATGACAATAATACCTGATCATGTATCTGTTTAAATAGTTTCCTCCCTCATCTGTTTCAGTACAGTATACATAATTTATCCCATATGTCTAAGTCTACCCCCAACCCTGATGTCAGTCTGGTTTTACAATAGTGACACTATGCAGTATTTGTCCTTTTGTGTCTGAAATGTTTCACGCAGCATGTGTTCCAGGGTCACCCATTTTGAATAGTATTTCATGAGTTCCTTGTTTTTATTTTTTTAAAATTAATTTTAATGAATATTTACAGAGATTTTGGATTTCCATTCATTCATTATGGCATTTTTCTCCCCCCCCCTTCTTCTCTTTGAAAAGTAAAATTCTTTCATTGGTATACAATTCATTCTGGACTCTTGTCATAACAATAATACCCAATCATCTATCGCTTTTAAACAGTTCTTTCCTTCATCTGTTTCAATGCAGTATACATCATTTATCCCATCTTTCTCAGTCTCACCCCAACCCTGATGTATGTCAGTCCCATTCTATGGACTATGCCATATTAGTCCCTGTGTGACTGAGATATTTCACTCAGCATAATGTTCTCCAGGGTTACCTATTTTAGAGAATAATTCATGAGTTCCTCCTTTTTCAGTGCAGCATAGTATTCCGTTGTATGAACATACCACAGCTTTTCTATCCATTCATTTGTTGATGGGCTCTTAGGTTGTTTCCACCTCTTTGCTCTTGTGAGCAAAGCCGCGATAAACATGGGTGTGCAGAGGCACCCATTCTTCTGTCATCGTTAAGGCAGCATCGGCTTTTGGAAGCTGGAGGGTCCACGCGATCAGGCTGGACTCCGTGGCAGGGGGCCGGCTTTGGTTTGCGTGGTGCGTAGATGAAGCGTTGGGCCGCTGGCCTCCCCACTGAGAACGAGGAGGCAGCCGCCCGGTGATGATCACAGTCTAGAGACTCCTGTGAGGTGATTCTCTGTCCTCCAGGGTCTTTGTGAGACGGAAGCAGCTGGAAGGAGTGAGCTTGTGGGGGCCTGATTCGTTGCTGCAGGGGTAGAATTGAATGATAGTGACAGAGACGGGCCAGCAAACTGGATGTGTTTACCATCTGTCCTTTTCAGACACTTTGCCCACCCCTGGCCCTAAGCCTCCGAGGTGTCAGTTTTTCCATCTGTAAAATGGGAATGTGATAGACCCCTGATGGTGGCATGAGGACCCCAGCAATGGAAGATGGATTGGTAATAATGGGGATTCCCCCAGCCTACAGGGCTGAAGGGTCTCTGAGATGGCTTGAGGGGTATCTGTCTTAACTTCTGGCTTGTCCCTGGGGTGAAGGGGTGTTCCCCAAGACAGCATGTTGGGCCACGTGGGACAGTTGGGGTTGTTTTCTGGTTCCCCAAGGGGTCCTGAATGTTCTCCCTGCAGCTTTCCCCATGTCTCAGATGGACACGGTGAGACCAGGAGGCAAGGCCAGCGGGAGGCCCTCAGTCCCCACTGGGCTGTGAGGACTGACACAGCCTGGTGTGGCCTCTGCCCATCCTGGGGGGCTGTGAGGGCACCTGGCCGCCCTCGGCCACAGTTGTCCCAGGGAATAATGTGGCCTGTGTCCTGCGGGTGGCAGCTGCGTGGGGGCTGGGAGGCGGCAGCCTGGCGCTCCTCCCGGACGCCTCCAGCAGCAGCTGCCGGCCTGGCCCACCGGATGGCTCCTGGTGGGGGCTCGGGTTACGCACACGCTGCCAGGCCTGGCTATCGGGCAGGGCAGTGACAGCCCACGTTTATTGAGCGCTTACAGTATGCTGGATGGGCTCGGAGCCCGCGCTGCGATGTCTTAACTCTTCAACCTTGTTGGGGCCTGAGGGTGGGGACTGGGACTCTCCCCATTGTATGGATGAGGAAACTGAGGCAGGGAGCTGGTGAGCCCAGGCAGACCCTGCCCCAGAGTGAACACTGGCGGGGAGCACGGTGATTTTGCGGCCGCCCCACTCTGGTTGCCTGGTGGCCTTGTGGGGAGGGAGGAGGCCGTGCATGGCCGAAGTGAGGGCGTTTTCCATCCTGACTGCGCCAGGCAGACCTAACCTTCAGGGAAGGAAGAAGCAGACAAAGACCCGTAGATGAAAAGCCAGACACCTTGGTGCTGTGCTGTCGATTCTGGTGCACAGCCGCCCTGCAGGACATAGGCCTCGAGGCTGTGCCCTTTCTGGAAGCAGACAGCCCCATCTTTCTCCATCCGTCTGTCTAGTGGATTCGATCCGTCAGCCTGTAGGTTCACCACCACATTCTTGACCTCCGGCACCACCTTGTGGCGTGCGCTGTCAGGTGCCGTGGAGCTGGCCCTGGCTCCCGTGTCTCCTGTGCCGTCTGGTGAAGCCCTGTCCTGCCCGTGCCCGCCGCACCGGCCTGACCCGCTGTCTTAGCCGCTGTGCCAGGCTGTCTCGGTCAGCACTTTCCTCTCCGTCGCTCTCCTGAGATTTGCTTGTTTGGGTTGAGAATCATAAGTGCTTACGGAGGCCTTGGTGCGGGCGAGGCCCTGGGGGCATAAGCTGTGGGGTTCTGGGGGAGTTTGGTGTGGTGCAGGGGACAGAGGTGGACCAGAGGGCCAGGAGAGAGCTGTGCTGTGGGAAGGGAAGTGAGGGGAGGCCGAGACCCCAATCTTGGAGGATGCATATCTGGTCTGTGATGAACTGTAGGGTGACAGACGGAGCTTACAGCTGGAAGGATGGACACCAGGATGTGGCCTCTGTGTTATGGGGACCTGTAGTCAGGCCAGGAATTAGGGTTACATCTGGTGGGTGTGTTCCTGATAGGGGTGTGCCTGGTGGGGGCTTATAAAGGGGGAGGTGTACCCAGTGGTGGGTCCCTCTGGGTGAGGCTGTGTCCAACAGGGCTGTATCCAGGTGTGGGCATGTACCTGGCTAGAGGTGCCCCCCGACTCAGTTACCCTGACCCTACCCCCACATCTGCTTCCCTTCTCCCGCAGGACCGCAGCCTGACAGGCAAGCTGGAGCCAGTGTCCCCGCCCAGCCCCCCGCACGCGGACCCCGAGCTGGAGCTGGTCCCCCCGCGGCTGTCCAAGGAGGAGCTCATTCAGAACATGGACCGCGTGGACCGCGAGATCACCATGGTGGAGCAGCAGATCTCCAAGCTCAAGAAGAAGCAGGTGTGCGCGGGCACGTGGCGGGTGGGGGCCAGGAGGGGACGCCGCCCAGTGCTGCACCGGCCCGCACACCTATAAATGGCATCAGCAGCCCTTTTCCCCGCCTCACACTGTGACCACCTGCCTGGGGCCTCACCCCGCGATTTGACCGAACCCGAGCTTTCCCGTCAGCCTCCTGCTCTGCTGCCTGCTTCCAGCCGGCCCCAGGCTCCTCCCTGGGAACCACTCATGCTTCTCACTCTCTGCTCACATGTCCCTTGCGGAGAGCCCCTCTCTGTACATTGATTCATCCTCTACCCGCACTCTGTCCCTAAAGCAAGACCAGGTCAAACCCACCGCTGACCCGTCCGAAACTCCACAGGGTGTCTGAGACTGTAATCTCTCTGGGGAGGAGACGGCCGTTCTCCTGGGGCCGCTGGTGGAATCACATCACTGACCTTTTGGTTAGCAACTCAACACGGCACTCGCCACGCCACCAGGCTCTTTTCTGTCCCAGGGATGGGGCACATGTAGCCAAAAGCAGCTGTCTGCGCGCGCGTGAATAGTTTTGTTGGCACATAGTCATACCCACTAGTTCCCCGTGCCACCGACGGCTGCTTTCTCTCTGTAACAGCCCAGGGGCCTGCAGAGGTCAGTGCATTTGGCCCCCACCCCTTTGCGGAGCCCGCGGGCCTCCCCTGCCTCCTGGCCCTGCCTCAGAGGGCCTCCTGCCCTGGATGCCACTATGCTAGGACCGAGGGGGCTCTCCAGTTAGGATAAGACAGGACCCCGTCTCCCCCTGACATCTGTGCCTGTCACATAGTAGGTACTCATGGAGAGCTCCCGCTGTGGGTGCATCTGAGCTAGTAGGGTCTCACCTGGCTCTGCCTCTCAGCAGGGTGGGCTCCCTGAATACCTGATAGCCTGTGAAGGAGGAACATTGAGGTGGGAGAAGGTGGGAGAAGGGAGGGCGTGGATTCCAAGAGGCCATGGGCTATTGCTAACAGCTGGACCTCCAGAACAATGTGACAGCTGGGCCTGGTCAGCGGTCAGCGACGCAGAGCTCGTAGTTTCCAAGATGGGTAGACATTGAGTGAAGAACTCTTTAGGGCCTGGCCTGGGGAACGCCGCTGACTCTGCAGGTCACATCTTCAAGTTCATGCCTCAGATCAGAAATCAGGTGGCTCGGGGGCGCCCCTTGATGGAGCTGTTTTTATTTTACGATTTCAACTCCACTTTGGCTCTTTTTTTAAAAAAAAAAAACCAAAACCCACAAAAAAACCCCATCAAACCAAAAAAACCCATGCTAAATTCATATAAAGGTAATTATTTTAAAAGTGAAGAGTTGAGTGCCATTTAGGACATTTCTGATGTTTAACAAACATCTCTGTCAAGTTCCAGAACATTTTCATCACCCCACAAAGAAACCCCGTTGCCCTGTCTTTCTCCTCCCAGCCCCTGGCTGCCCTCATCTGCTCTCTGGGTTTACCTGCCCTGGCTGTGCTGTGGTCATGGCTGGAGACCTCTGGGGTCGTGTCCGACTGGTTCCTCTCACGCAGCATCTTTGGTGACTCCCCGTGCTGACCACCATGGACACCTCCGTCCTCTGACTGCAGAACTCTCCATTGTGTGGGGTGGCACATTCGATGTGGCCCCCCATTTCTCCCATGGGCTCTCCCTCTTTGCAGTGTAGTGCTCCATTCTGTGGAGTTAGCCCGTTAGGGGTGCCCCCTTGCCGTTGCTGGACGTCCGGGCGGGCTCTCTCTGAAAGGCGCTGCTTCTCACAGGCCCAGGTTTTACTCTCAGAGCCTCTTGGTGGTTGTGCCTGGGTTCGTGCCAGAGCCAAGTGGCTGGGTCAGGCGGTGGTTGTGCGTCCTGCGATTTGAGGACCTCCCAGCCTCCCTTCACCTCCAGCAGCACCGTTTCTCATTCCTCTTTCCCGCCCGCGGTGCACGAGGGCCCCAGCATTTCCATCTCCCCGTCAGCTGCTTTCTGGGTTTCTTGATAATAACCTTCCCGGTTGGCTAGAAATGGTATCTCGTGGCTGTTCTAATCTGCATCAGATATACCAGTATCTTACCAAAGCCCCTGCTGGAGTCAGGCCTTTCTCTTTTTTACTTTTAATATACTTTGCATTCAGTGGAGCAGGGGTGGCCTAGTAGGTAAGGAGTTGTGCTGCCAACCCAGAGGCAGGTGGTACGAATCCGTCAGCGTCTCCAAGGGAGTAAGATGGTCAGTCTTGCTCTGTGTGTGATTTAGAATCTCTGAAAACCCACTGGAGGGGCAGCTGGGGTCAATTTCAGCCTGACAGTGAGGAACACACATTAACACTTGCCGGGGAATTTATATGGCCTTCCGTGTTCTCTTTCATAGCCACCCTGTGGGGGGAAGAACTGTTGCATAGAGTTTATGAGGCTGGGCTTCTTCAGAGAAGTGTCATTCCCCACCCCCACCCCACAGAGTCGCTGGTGGCCCTGAACTGCCAGTCTTTTGGTTAGCAGTGAGTGCTTTAACTCCCACACCACTGAGGCTGGGAGATGGAATCTCTTTGATGGCAGTTAAATATTTTTTTTAATTTGGGGGGGGTTCCCTCCATAACAACTTCTGTATTAGTTCCTTGGTGACCTTGGTTACATTCTTTGTGTTGTCATTCTGGTGGCCTTCTTTCAGTTAATCTAGCCTCCCCGCATCCTTACATTCTCGGCTCTGATTTAAAGGAATTGTGGACTCATCCATCTCCAGTGGGTGGTTTCTTAAAGGAGCCACAGACCTTATGGGCAAACCCGGGGTTGTTTGAACCTGCAGTCCTCAAGGTAGTTTGAAGAGTATTTTAGGACAGTCTCGAGGAGTCTCCCAGTCTCACTCAGTCCAGTGAGTTTCCTTTTTATTTTCAGGAATTTGAGCTTCTGGTCAACATTTTCCTCCCATTCTTTGAGTGTCCTGCAGTGGCCAGAGCAGTCAGGAGTGCAATCTGTGCACCCATCTAATCTAGATCCTGGGCTCTCGGCTGGAGGAAGTGGCTGTGGCATTTCCTCCACTTCTTAGAGCAGCCTTGTGTGTGTGGGGGGGCACCCTGACCCCTCTATTTTGCAGAGGGAGACATTGAAGTCTAGAGGGGTACGGTGTCTTCCCGAGGCTGTGTAGGTGGCAAGTAAGAGCTTGAAGGATGAAGACCCTAGGTGATGCAAGCCATTAAGGTTGGCAGTTGCAGTCCACCAGAGATGGGCCTTGAAAAGCCACAGATGCCCCGTGGAGCTTGCTGTTGGCCGGTCACAGCACTGTGGCCCATGTGGCCTCGGGGTGGTGGGCTTTCTCATTCTGCCTTTGTTGTTGATTGCCTTTGAGTCGAGTACGACTCATAGCGACCCTCTGAACAAAAGGCCTGAAGCCCCTCTACAACTGTCGACATTTACCAAAGTTCTTAGAGTTTCTGGAGGCATGTCGTTTAGGAAGTGGAGGCCACTCCTGCTTCCAAACCTGTCATAGTATGTTAGTGTTGTTATGTGCCATTGTGTCACCTGTGATGTGTAGCGGCCCCATGTACAGCAGCTCTGAACCCTTCCCTATCCCGAGCCAGTCTCACTAACTCCTATATACCAACTCACATTGCCCCAGTTACCCTATCAATCCATCTCATCCGGGGTCTTCCTCTTCAGTGCTGTCCATCCACCCTTCCCAGCTTGATGTCCTTCTCCAAGGACAGATCTCTCCTGGCCACATGCCCAAAATAAGTGAGACAGAGCTTCAAAATCCTCGCCTCCAAGGAGAGACTTGACTTCACCCTCTCCCAGACAGACCTATTTGTTGTCTTGGCGGTTCATGGTATGTTCGAGACTCTTCTCCAGCACCATGACTCAAAAGCATCTATTAGGAATTCCTTTTCTGTGGTGCCCAAGAGAGGGCCACCCTCACTGAGGGAGAATCCCACACACATGCTTCCAGTCTGTACTTTGGGGTTCGCAAGTGTTTTGCCAGGAAGCCTCGTGGTGCAGTGGTTAGATGCTTTGCTTCTAACTGGAAGAAAGCTGGTGTTTCAAGCCCATTTGGTCACTTGGTGGGAAGAGGACTTGCCGGTGCTGGGGAACCCACCTGGGAAACCCCGGGGGACGCTGGGCTCTCATCTGTGTGGCCTCCTGAGTCCAGATGTGTCGGACATGACGGTGTTTTCCGAAAGCTGCCAGCAGGGGTCTCTGTGGGACTGTGGCAGAGCTGCTAACCCAGCTGGGCTTCCCAGGGGCCTGGCCTCGGGTCCACAGTGCCCGAACCTGGGTCCCGTGTCAACTGCACACAGCATTGTGAGGGGGCGGACCCTGTTGGGGTGTGGATGTGGGTACTGATGCCCCTACTCGGCCCTGGGCTGGACTCTTAACATTGCTGGTCTTTCGCTTTCTTCATGGTGTGAAACAGTCATTGCCTTTAGGGGTGATCCGCCACAGAGGGTCTAGAGAGGGGGGTCCTGTGTCACACACAGAGGGTCTGAGAGAGGGGAGCCCCGTGTCACAGAGGGTCTAGAGTGTCACAGAGGGTCTACAGAGAGGGGGGCCCTGTGTCACACACAGAGGGTCTGCAGGAGGGGGGCCCCGTGTCACACACAGAGGGTCTGAGAGAGGGGAGCCCCGTGTCACAGAGGGTCTGGAGTGTCACAGAGGGTCTACAGAGAGGGGGGTCCTTTGTCACACACAGAGGGTCTGAGAGAGGGGGGCCCCATTGTCACACACAGAGGGTCTAGAGTGTCACAGAGGGTCTGCAGGAGGGGGGCCCTGTGTCACACACAGAGGGTCTGAGAGAAGGGGGCCCCATTGTCACACACACAGGGTCTAGAGTGTCACAGAGGGTCTGCGGGAGGGGGGCCCCGTGTCACACACAGAGGGTCTAGAGTGTCACAGAGGTTCTACAGAGAGGGAAGCCCTGTGTCACACACACAGGGTCTGAGAGGGGAGCCCCGTGTCACACACAGAGGGTCTAGAGTGTCACAGAGGGTCTGCGGGAGGGGGGCCCCGTGTCAGCCACAGAGGGTCTGCAGGAGGGGAGCCCCGTGTCACACACAGAGGGTCTGCAGGAGAGGGGCCCCGTGTCACACACAGAGGGTCTGCAGGAGGGGGGCCCCGTGTCACACACAGAGGGTCTTAGAGAGGGGAGCCCCGTGTGAGGACCTGCCCGCTGGCCTCTGGTCAGGGCTCATTCACAGTGACAGCGTGGAACTGCCCACCAGACTTCCCGGGTTCACTTGTTAGGTGTTGTTGAACTGACCCTGAACAGATCTGAACCTCCTGCCCCATTCTCACCACCTCTTCGTCTTGCTCTGAAGGTCTTCCTCCTAACACCTGTCCTATAGAAAAAGGACTTTTTAATTGCCCCCATTTTCCAGGTGAGGCAAAGTGAGGCTCAGAGAAAGTTAGCAACCTCCTGTAGACGAAGGAGGTTTCTAACCTGGTCCCTGAGTCTGCACGGTCCTGAGTGCGATGATGGTGTGTAATATCTGTGGCTGGGTTTAGCAGGCCCTGTTTGACTGTGCCTGCATTAACTCGTCTCCTCGGGACCACATCTAGAGAGGTGGTGATTGGCCCCATTTCACAGAGGAGGAGACTGAGGCTCTGCTTCTGTTCACTTCGCTGGAAGTGAGGCCAGGCAGGCTTTGAACCAGGGAAGGCTTGGCCCCGGAGGCTCGAGTCGGCTGCTGGTGGGGGCCCTTCCCCGAGGGAGCAGGGGTTGCTGCTCCAGGACTCCCCGGGCTGAGTCAGAGGAAATGGTTAGTAGCTTGACTTCCTGTGCATGGCCACTGTGAGGGGGCCGCCCGAGCTGTGCCCCGTGGGGGGCCTGCCTTCCGCCCTGCTCACCGATCACGCCCTCTCCACCCACAGCAACAGCTGGAGGAGGAGGCCGCCAAGCCGCCCGAGCCCGAGAAGCCCGTGTCGCCTCCGCCCATCGAATCCAAGCATCGCAGCCTGGTGCAGATCATCTACGACGAGAACCGGGTAAGCTGCCAGCCAGCCTCTCCTGCCACCCTGCTCTGACCGCTTACAGGCTGTGGGGTCCCCTCAACGGGCGCGCTTCCCACTCTGGGCCTCCGTGTTCTCATCTACGAAATGGCACCTGAGCAACCCTCCTGCCCCGGACTCATTTATAAATGAGTGGCTGGTGTTCAGTGGGCCTGGGGTGCACTGAGCCCTGGCTGAGGGGCGGTGCTGTGAGTCCTAGGAGGTCTGAGCCCAGTAGATGGCTTGGGGAGGAACATTTAGGCTCAGAAGGAAGTCCAGTGATGGAGAAGATGCATTTCCCTCAGTAACGGGAAATGAGCCCTTTTCTCTGCCAGGCAGTGGACAGTCCTTTGCACGGCCGTCCTGGGAGGGCGAATGGGGCAGCTGCTTCCATTTGTCACGTCAAAACAGATGGAACTGAAGCCCAGACAATTCGAGTTCTTGTCCAGAGTCGCATAGCCCAGAGAGGGTACACCTGGGATTTGCAACAGGATCCCTTCAGTGCCAGCCTGCTTTGACATCCCAGCAGGGCCTTTCCTGGGGCCAGATACCACATGAGGCTTGATGCAGGCTTGGGGCCTAGAGGCCTGGGAGGGGCAGCTGCTGGGGGCCTGGAGGAGTTTGGTTTTGGAGGGGCTCAACAGCCCTGAGTTAGAGCTTGGTGTCTGGTAGGGCTCTAGGCTCCTGAGTTCCAGGTCCTGCCACTGTGTGTGAACTCAGTTCCATGTTCATCACTCAGATGAGTGCAGGGTGTGTGGGTGATGAGTGTCCTCTCTGAGGGGTCAGAACACAGCTCTTGTCTGATGTGACACAGTGAAGTGTGGCAGACAGGGACCACTCTTCTCTCGACCTCTCGTTCCGTGCTCCTGCGTGGGGTCCCTGGGCTGCTCCCTGCTGCTGGCTCAGTCTCAAGAGTCAGGTGCAGCTGATGTCTCCTCGTCTGTGATTGCTGCTCTCCTGTCCCCAGGGCCTACCTGCGCCGAGCTGCTTGTCAGCCGTTTGGCTAGTCCTCCGCCTCATGCAGCAGCAATAGGATGCAGGGTGAGCCTGAGGCAGTAGGACTTGGGGGCCAGGCATCCATTCCCACTCAGAGCCACACTTGTGACACTTAGTGCTGTAAATCAGAGTCCCCATGGGCTGCCCTGACCTCGGGCAGAGGGGGCTCGGGCCCCACATCCACCACCACAGTCCCCCACCCTGACACTTCCCTGTGACCTCGAGTGGTTTTAGTCACCTGCTGTGACCCACACTCCTCTCCTGTTCACTCATGGTGACCTAGCACCCATCTTGCATGGTTGGTGGGGCGAGGAGCAGTGGATTCAGTATGGGGCTGCCAACCACAAGGCTGGCAGTTCAAGCCCACCCATTGCTCTAAGGGAGACAGACACGGCTGTCTAGCTGTAAAGGTCATAGTCTCGGAGCTCCTGTCGGACACGTCTGCTCTGTCCTCCTGGGTCACTGTGGGTCGGAGCTCACCCATTTCTGGTGGATCTCCGTGGGGCTGTTTTGACCTGTAAAGTGAGGGTCTCTTGTCCCCATGGCCACGTTCTCCGGGGCACTGTCGTTCTGTCTAGAACAGCCCGGCTCCTTGGCCTCCGCAGTCCCTCTCTGTCCCAGTTACTATCCTCACCTGGGGCTCTCAGCTGGATGGTCTGTCAGGCCACTGGTTCGGGGCTTCTGGTGAGTGGGGCAGAGAGTTGCTTGGATGGCAGCCCAGATGCAGGGTGCAGACCCCATTGTTCTTCCTCTGCCTTGGGGCCCCTGAGGCTGTGGAGTCAGCGTACCTGTGGTGGGGGCTCGTGGGGCGCTGTAACTGTCAAAAGCTTTCTCAGGAAGTGTCTGGCAGTTAGCTCTCCTGGATACAAGAGACAGAAACCGAGTCTAAGAAAGAGTTCATCATGGGGCCCTGTGACGAGAAGTCAGTGCTGGCGCTTGCTTCAGGTGTGGGTGGATCGAGGGGCTCATGTGACGGCATCTGACTCACCTCTCACCGACTAGGGGCCAGAAGCAGATAGGAAGTCTCTTTCCTAGTGGCCTTGGCCACACTTCCAGGGCTAACCCTCATTGGCTGGCTGGAGTCACATGTTCATTTTTGAGTGATCCCCAAGGTCAGGGGCATCTGCTCTGACTCCTGCCCGGCCTCGGAGAAATCGGAGTTCCCACTTCAATAAAATGAACACTGCACCACAAAGCAAGTCGTACCAATTTTCGCTGTTTGCCAGTGCACGTAACATTAGCTTTACCCTGAGCTGGAGTCTGTGAGGGATGCCACAGCCCTGGAGGGAAAAAAAATCAGAAATATTTAGAGAATGAGCAGAATGCGGTCATTCACAGGAAGTGAGCCCGTACTGTTGGAAAGACAGCACTGACCGACACGCTTGACGCAGGGTTGCCACCGGCCTTCAGTTTGTAAAAAGCCCAGCGTCTGTGCGGTGCAGTTAGGTGGAACGTGGTGAAATGAGTTTGCACGCTGGGGAGGCTGGGCCTCTTACCTCTGTCTGAGGTGGGGCCCCCCGTCTCCCGGCCCCCCAGCGATGGAGCCTAAGAAATGCTTCTCCTGAGGAGAGATTGGGGTGTGCCACACATACACCCTCCCTGCCTGCCTGGACGTGGCCCACCCCCTCAGCCCCGGCCTTCACGCCTGCCCGGAGGAGACTGAGGCCTCACAGCGGGTTGAACCTGGTTCCTGAGGGTGAGAGCTGGCCCGGCCTGGCCACTCAGGTCACCTCATCCTCACTTACCCTTTCCGTCAGCAGCCGTCGGCCTCGTTGTGTGAGGCAGCGGTCATACCGTCAGTACGTTCACTCAGTTGCTGGGCAGCTGAACCGTTGCTCCGGCCCTGGCCCTCGAACGTGGAACCTCGACCTCACCTGCCCTCTGGTGGCTCTGGGGTTGGACACCCCGTTGTCGGCTCCCTGGCCGACTCCTCACTCAGCCCCGCCCCGAGCGCCTCCTTGCTGGCCCTCCTGTGCCCAGGGTGCCTCAGGGCCTTTGCACTGCCTCTCCCTCCAGCGGGGTGCCTTCCCGGACCTCACACTGCCCCGCTCACTGCCGGACCCTCCGTCAGTGCTGAGGACCCTTGCTGCGGCCAGCACGTCCCCACGGGGGCCGACCGCGTCCTGCCCGCTTACCCTGCTCCCTGGAGTGGAGGTTGCCTTCGGGCAGTGGGAACGGGAGGATGGGTCCCTGTGGTGGCGCTGGAAGGACCCTGAGGTTGGAGGCCAGGTAGGCAGGAGGTCCCCCACCCTGTCCACCTCTGGCAGCAGCTGCAGGCACTTCCTGCTCCTGCTGGATCAACAGGGTCGATTTTAATCTGCCCTCCTTCCCTGTGGCCGGCCCTGTGCAGCGATGCAGCGGCCTCTCAGAACCGCTCTGGGCCACAGCTCCCCAGGGGCGGGCTGGACGGGGTCCGGTGCATCAGGGGAGGTCATCGTCCCCACCGGGCGGGCCCAGGAGGCAGCTCATCTCGGACCACACCAGTGACCTCCCTCCCGGGGCTGCCCGTGTGGGCGGGGCAGGCAGGGGTGTGGACGGAGGTGGGAAAACGCTGAGGGGGAAGCAGTTGCTGACCCTGGAAAGGAAGGCATCCCATCCCCGGGGGTCCTGGCCCAGCAGAGCCCACGAGAGGGAGGTCACAGGTCTGTTGATCTCATGGGATGCATGTGGGAGGCTAGGACTTGCCTGTCCTACCCCTCTGGATCTCAGTGAGACGGACACCCAGAGGGCCCTGCAGTGAGCGTGCCAGCAACGAGGAATTGGGGCAGTCAAGGGAGGCTTCCTGGAGGAGGCAGTACTTGCATTCAAGTGCACAGTGGGTACTGTTGCGGATGTGAGGGATCAAGGGCAGACTTCTGGGATACCTTTGGGAGACTCGGTGGAAGCAGTGGTCTCTACCTGCTTGTGTGGCAAGGTGGTCGGCAGGTGAGACCCTAGCCCAGGCATGGATTTAACCATTCAGGTCCTGACGCTTAGATAAACCAGCCCACCTAGAGACACACTGTCAGCCGTTACTGTAGACAGGAGACATCCGGGCCCCAGGGCGCCTGTCTCTGGGACCTGCTGCCCCACACCCATCAGGAGTTGGGGTTTTTCAGAACGGCTGTAAGGAAATCCGTCACAGGAATCCCAAAGCCGGCCTCACCCCACCTGTCAGTCATCACATGACATGAAGTGACAGCTGGACCCAGTGGGCCCAGGGGACAGACCAGCACAGTCAGACTGCTTCCCAGAATCACCGGTCAGCTCCGAGGGGCTCAGTGGGAGCGATACTGGGGCCTTTGGGGCTCCCAGGGTGAGGGTGGGGTGCTGCCCCTGTGCTGCAGAGAACAAAGCGTGACCAGAGCTGGCCGTGGAAGAGCTTGAACAGGGTCCTAGAGGCCAGATACAGACCGAGGGCTGGTCAGTGCATGAGGCTCTGGACCTCCCGCCACAGAAGACGAGAGGCTCTGTGTGTGTGTGTGTGTATGTGTGTGTGTTGACACGTGTGACCACGTGTGTGCACCTGTGTATGGCTGTGCACCCATGCGTGTGAGGGAACCCTCTCTGTACGTGTGTTCACATGTGTGCTGTGTCCTGTGGGTCTCTGTGGTGTCCTGCATTGAGTACACGTATGGTTCTGTGTGGGTCATCTGCTGGTCTTCCTGGGATCCAGACATGTGGCTGTGGGCGTGGGCGCGCGTGCGTGCACACGTGTGTGTGTTTGTGTGTGTGTGTGTGTTCACCAGTGACTGGGAGCTAGCGTGGAGGGCACACATAGGTGGTGTTGGACACTTTCTCTTCCCTGGCCTGGTCCTCTGAGCTCCTGGGTCTAGAGACCCTCATGAGTGCTGTCTTCCCCCCCCCTTTTTATTATTTTTGTGTGTGTGTACCATCAAATTGGATTTGACTGGTACAGGAGGAGATTGCCCCTCCTTCTCCAGCAGAGCGTCTGGTGGATTCAAATCACGTACCCCTGGGATTTCAGGGCAGCTTCCTGCCACCAGGCCACCGGAGCTCCCCAGGGGTGCTGTCTTTTAAGTGGGACTCCACCCGACCCTGTGGCCCTCAGCTGCCTGCCTGAGCCCCCCGAGTGAGACTTGGTGACCTCTGGCCCTGTGTGTAACAGCAGGTCCTGTCCTGCCCCCCATCCATCAGCCTGGGTTCTGGACTGGTCCATAGGGAGTTGACCTAGGGGACCTCCGGGGATGGCTCTCCTTTGGGCACTGACCCCCACTTCTGTAGAACTGGGCCCCTGGTGACCAGCTGCAGTGTGACCTCGTCTCCCCCTCTGCCCTTGGGGAGGGGTATTCTGAGTGCCCCAGCCAGTGGTTCCCTCCAGTGAGAATGCCCCCACTAGGGCTGGGCAGCAGTCACACCACCAGCCTGCCCCCCCCACGGCCCTCGTCGTGCGCTGGACACTGGCTTTAGCGGATCTCAAGTTTACTTCTTAACCACAGCGTGTGAAGTGGGACAGTCCCTCGCCCTGTGTCCCTGACAGGGTCCTGAGATTTGTGGGGAGGAGACTGGCCTGAGTCCAGTCAGCGGATTTGAACCCAGGCCTCAGAGCAGCGTGCTGTGTGACTCTCCGGTGTCTCAGTGTCTTGAGACCAGCTCACAGCAGGACAGGTCTCCTGGACATCGTGTCGGCTGTCCTTTTGGAAGCTGACCATGTCATCAAAGGCCCCAGGGGAGAGTGGGGTGCCGAGGGGGCATGTGGGGCAGGCCTGACGGGCAGCAGGGCTCTTGTAGCAGATGTGTCTGTGAAGAACTGGCCGTGAGGGCCAGGAGGGGGGGACCCGCTACTCGAGGGGATGTCTTTCAGCCCCTTGTTCAGGGCACCTGTGCTCCTGAGACAGACAGGATGCCAACAAAGCCGGGACCCACCTGCGGTCATCTGGCACAGACGACTTCTTCTTCATCTTTTTTTTCCAATTTTTCTACTACTTTACAAAATTCAAATAATACAAATTTGAACAAATTCTTTCCATTTCCCTCACCCCCCAACCCATCAAACTGTACAACCCAATGATTAATCCCCTCTTCCCCCTGCACATCCACATCCCTCTGCTTCCAGCCTCTCCCACCCCTCCTGGATCCTTGTACTCATTCTACAGTAACAGCTTTATACAATATTTACCATCATGGGACTGAGTTAGTTCACTCAGCATAATGCTCTCCAGTCCCTCCCAATTTAGGTAATAATTTACAGAGTTCTTGCTCCCGTGTGGCACAGACGTCTTGAACCAGCACCCTGTGCCCAAGGCCTGGACCTGCATCTTTGGTCTGGCATGCCAGGGAAGGCTTAGCTGGGAGAAAAGTCCCGTGTGATCTGCTTTTCTGGTCACCCAGCCCCTGCAGTCTTGCCTTCACAAGTTCAGCCTCGTCCTTTTATCAGAAGGGGTCAGGGCAGGTCCTTATACGCATGTACCACAAACTCCTATACATCCCTCAGAACCCAGCCTCTGTCACCCACCTGCTACCGGAGACTCGTGCCGCCTTCCACACACGTACCTGTTTTCTGCCAGAGCAGGCAAAGCTGCTGTTGGTGCTTCTGTGTCCCATTGCCTCGTCTGTCTCGTGAGGCTCCCTCTTGTGTCTCGCAGGCGGGGTGTGTGTGAACTGACGATGAGAGGGGCTGTATGCTCAGTGCTCAGTTCATAGAGTGCTGTAATGACTAAGATGGTCCTCGATGGGGGGCCCCAGCTATACCCTGAAGCTGCTGGTCTCGGGGCGTGGGTTATGTGAAGGGTCTGGGGGCATGCCTGCTAGTCTTGGGGTTTGGACTTCGTGTGGACACAAAGGGCCTGGCTGGTGGTCTTGAGGGGCTTGGAGCTTGGGCTCTGGAGGGCATGACTGGAGGGCTCTGGAGCTCAGTGTTTGGGCTCTGTGTAGGGCCTGGGGGCATGGCTGGTGGTCTGGAGGGCTTGGGGTTTGGGCTCTGTAGGCCCCGAGGGCATGGCTCTCAGTTGTGGGCAGGCTAGGCCCTTGTTCTGGGCCGAGCTTGTTCTTGATGCCAGCGTAAACCCACCAACATAACCCTGTCATCGAAGTGAGGTCTGTCTGAAGTAGGAGAGGGGGGCTGGTCTCCGACAACCAGGAAACACCTTGGGAGGGCCTGGGGTGTTAGGACAGCTGGGGGACAGTTTTATCCCAGCCCCTCGACCTCCCAGAAAGACTCCCCAAGCCCTCCATGTCTGGGGGTACAGCTCTTCCTGCATTGTAGGGGAACTTGCCTCTCCTGGGGCACCACTCTGTCAGAGCCCTTTTCAATACACGCCTAGCAGAGCCTCCTGGCCCTCAAGCTCCCCCACAAAGCATCGAGTTAGAGCCTTTCCTGCCCCTTTGTCTGCCCTCTGCAGCCTCCCACCCCCAGCCTCTGACAGGTCCTGGTGGTCCCAGGCGGGGGCTGTGTGGCACAATGCCCCCTTCATGGTGCCGGGCGGGGGCCTGAGTTCCAGGCTGGGCTGGTGCCACATTGCTCTGCGTTTCTAATAAGGCCTGTTGTGCATGGGGTGGGGGTGGGGGCCAGGGCAGCCCAGCACCCCGGAGTGGACCCTCTGCCGCCCTCCCTGGCATGCACCCTCACTGATTCTGAGCATTGTGAACAACCCAGTGGCTTCTCTGCCCAGGCGGGCATTTCAGGCCGTAGGCTGGCCGGAGCTCTGGCCGGGTCATCGCTCCCGGGGGCGAGAACGGGCTCCCAGAGCACATGGTGTGTGCGGTTACCAAGGGGCAGCTCGGCCGGGAGGACCCCTGGGGACCGGGACCAGGACTGGGCCACTGCCCTCTGTCCAGGAAGCCTCTGCTTATAATGTGTTCTGTGTTTTGTTTTTCCCTTCTTGCCGCCGCCCCACAGAAGAAGGCAGAAGCGGCACATCGGATTCTGGAAGGCCTGGGGCCCCAGGTAGAGCTGGTGAGTTGGGGTGCATGGTGGGAAGCTGTGGGGGTTGCCGAGGTTTTGAGGAGGCGGGAAGGGCGGCAGGTGGGCGTTAGGAGGAAGGAAGAAGCTGCGTATTGCCAGTTGGTGCCCAGTGTGGCCCATGGCAGCAGGAAACGCACCCCGATAAAGGGGGCTGGGCGGACGGGGCTGTGCGGATAGCAAGGTCAGTGAACGAGGATGGAGTTTTCAAACGCCCTGGCCGAGGTCCGCAGTCCCGCCAGCGAGGCCAGGCCCACTCACTCCCTGCAGTCCAGCCCATGTGCTTCAGCTCCGCCCTCTTAGCTTGTGCCTCAGTCTGTGTGTCTGTAAAATGGGCTTGACGACAGCACTTCTCATATGGGGTTGTACCTGAGACTGACCATATTTATGAGACCTGGGCTGGGCCCACAGTGAGTGCTGTGTGCTGGCCGCTGTTGTCTCTGGTGTCCCTGTCACTTGGTGGACAAGGGGCTGCTGTGGCCTGCGTGAGCCGAGGAGCAGACCCGGCCTCTTTTTCTTTCTGGTGGAGATGCCTGCAGACTCTCTTTCTGGTGGTTCTGGAGTACTTCCTCCCGGCGGGTGGGTGACAGCAGGATATATATGGGATTAAGTTAGGATGTTAAGGAAATAATATTGAGAGGTGGGCTAAATTGGGATTTAGTGCAGCCTCTGGCCTGAATAAGGCCTGGTGTAGGCTAAGCACAGGGTTTCAAACCAAGAAGTTGGCAGTTCGAGCCCACCGACGGCTCCACGGGAGTAAGGTGAGATGTTCTCCTCCTCAGTGACCCCAGCTGTGGAAGTCCTGTCAGGTGGTCCTCCGCGGTCACTGTGGGCTGGAATCGCGTCCCCAGCAGGAGTCTGACTTGTGGGATGATGGGGAAGCCGTGCCCCAGTGCTCTTGCAGTCTTGGGGTTCTCCCCAGAGCCTGTCTTCTCGGGCCACTCAGGAATAGTGGGCATGAGCTGGCCCCTGCCTCCCGAATCTTGCAGGGCAGGGCCAGATGGACACTGGCAGGAGACTCCCAGGGCTCGTGAGCAGGGCCCAGTGGGCAGTGGAACTAGCCTGGCCTTCGCTGGTGCTTCCTCGGGGCTCTGTGCACGCGATCCCAGCCTGGAGTTCCTCCTCCCCTGCTGGGCACGACTCCCGGGAAGTCACACGCTTCTATGATTTTATAAATGATTTTCCTGGGCTCGCGTTCACGTCCTGTACGATGGAGGCATTTAAGGGGCACAGGTCTCCCGGGTCACAGATTGTGCCCCTGTCAACACAGCTGCAAACGTGTTCTCACCTCGTGGAGGAAGCCCGTGGCCCGTGCCTGTCCCTCCCCTCTGTCCTGCTCCCCCAGCCCCTGGGAACCGGGAATGTCTTCGCGGTCTCTGCCTGCCCTGCCTCACTGTTCTGGCGTGTGTACGTGGGAGCACATGCCTCAGAGATGTGCCCATGGGTGTGCACCTGGAGAAGATACCTGTGCAGCGGAGGTGTGCGCGTTTCGGTGTGCACCTGGAGATAGGTGTCGTGAGTGGACACCAGTGAGGGGCATACTTGGGGTGTGCCCCTGGGCGTACCTGGGAAAGTTATGTGTGTTAACTGCCCATTTAGTGCTGGGGCTCTGCCCGTCTTATATTCCCACTATCAGGCGATTTTTTTTTTGCCTCAGTTTCTCCTTTTTGCAAATGGCTATGGTGGGATGAGGTGTGGTCCCAGCTGTTTGAGAATCTCTAGGCTTGGCTGGTCTCCTGGGATCTCAGCAGACCTGAGGTTCTCAAAGGTGAGCGAGTGGAGAGGACTAGGGCTTCTGGAGTCCCTAGGCTGGACATCTGAGGAGGGGGTCCTCTCCAGTGTCTACACCTCTGGGTCAAGGCTGGTGACTTTAGGCCGATGTCTGGAGTTGGGTGAGCTGCAGGGTGGCCCCAGAATCCTCAAGAAGCAGAAGGCCCTTTGCTTTGTGGGGCCCACACCACAGGTGTTTTCTGCAGAGGACAGGGCTCTGGACCATATAGTCAGGCCTGCAGATGAGTACTGACCGCTTGCTCTGTGCAGGCTGGCCCTTGGTCAGAGGTGTCCTCCAAGTGGGAGAAGACAGGGACGGACACACACACACACACACACACACACACTCTCTCTCTCTCTCTCTCTCACTCTCACTCTCTCTCTCTCTCCCCCTCCCTCCCTCCCCCCCCCCCCTCTCTCTCTCTCTCACTCTCTCTCTCTCTCTCTCTCCCCCTCCCTCCCTCCCTGCCCACCCCCACGCCCTGTCCGGTACACACACACACACTCTCACTCTCTCTCCTTCTCTTTCCCTCTCTCTCTTCCCCCCCTTCTCTCTCTCTCCCTCTCTCTCTCTCCCCCTCTCTCCCTCTCCCTCTTCCCCCCTCTCCCCCTCTCTTCCCCTGCCCACCCCCACTGCCTGCCCTGTCAGGTTCCAGGCCTCCCTGGGGTGAAGGGACCAGGCATGCGGGGGAGGGTGTGTGCGGCCCTGGCCTCCGCTTCGAGTCGCTTGCTTCCTTCCTGTGTCGAGTTATTTTCAGAGCCAGTGTCACCAGAGGGTTGAGGGCTGGGTGACATGTCATCTGTCACCAGCTCAGCCCCACCTGGGACGCTGCCTCCTCTCAGTCACCCTGCCAGCTGGCCTGAAGCCAGGCTTGAAGGGCCCCCCACTTTCTCCCCGAGACCTCCCCTCCCACTCTGAGTCATACTGAGATCTCTTCCTGCCCAGGGCTTGGCGCGCTCAAATGCCGCTGTCTCTGTGCCACCTCAGAGTCCCTGTGCCCCTGGAGGGGGCGGGGGTGGGAAGATGAGATACAGACCTGGAGATGCCAGGGGCGGCCCACGGGGACCCGTCAGCCACGGGGACCCGTCAGCCTGGGCCATTCACAGTCTGGAGGAGGGACATCTCAGAAGCTAGGCGCCTCTGGTGAGGGAGTGAACGATGGGAGCCCTGAGGGCAGGCCTGCCCGGGGTGTGAGGTGGACATCTCCTGGGATGGAAGGAGCCACCAGCCAGCCCCTCTGTGGGGAGATGGAGGAACGGCAGGGGTCCTGGGGGGCAGGTGGGCACAGGAGTCACCGGCCGGCCGGTCTTTGGGGAGATTGAGGGGAACGGCAGGGGTCCTGTGGCCCCTCAAGAGGACACCAGTCCATAGGCTTTCCATAAAAACTGTGTCAAGTTAGCTGTTGCCATGGTAACAACAGGCCGCCCCTTGTCACACTGGACCCTGAGGTTAACCCTCTGTCTGCCTCCTGGGCACAGCCCCTGTTCAGAGGTGACAACCCCCCGTGTGGCTTCATGGCTCCGTGCCTCTGGGCCTCCGGGCCCTTTCCTTGAGCTTTTCCTGAGGAGAGCTGACTGTGGTCTTCTTGTCTGTGTGTGTGTGTGGGGTGTGGGTGTGTGTGTGTGTGTGTGTGTGTGTGTGTGTGTGTAATGACACGTCAGCCTCTTCTGGTCACCAGGCCCTGAGCACGCGGCTGGCTGTCCTCTCTAGAAACGAGCATCTGAAGGAGCAGAGCCTGGCTTTGTGAGCTCCACAGTCAGGAGTCCTGGGTGGCTGCCCTGTCCTGCATGTCCTGCACCAGCTGTCCAGAGGAGGAACCCAGGCCCAGTGTCTGTGTCACACGGGCCAGGGAGGGAGGAGCCAGTGTTTAAATCAGGGCCATCAGTTCCTGGAAGCAGACCGAGCACGCCGTGCCCACCACTGCCTGGCGTGTCGTTTACCACCAGTAGTGAGTCATGGGTGAAGCCCAGGGTCAGCACGGGACAGGGGGCAGGCATCTCGGCGGGGCCTCTCGGCGTTTTGGAGACAAGGATTCTCAGCCTTCCTTCCGCTGAAGAGCCTGAGCCTGTCACTCACCCCCAGGAAGTTCTGCAGTGAGTCTGACTGCGGGTTCTCTAGCTGCACCTCTCACCCAACCCCCGCCCCGTTCCAGCCCCCAGGGTGCAGGTGGGAACGTGCCCTCTCTGTGTTGGCCTGAGCATCTTGCAGGCAGCCGGGCCTGGTGTGGAAGGTAAGGGCCATGCCAATCCATGGGGACCCCTCTGTTACCCAGGGGAGTAGCTTGGAGCTGGACTCTCCCAAGGCAGTGGTGAATTACCACAGAGTGGTCTGGGCCCTCTCCTTCCTAGGAGACAGCTGGGGTCTGTGACCACCCAGGGGCTGGCCCTCCCCTGGCAGCAGGCGTGACCAGGGTGTTGGTGGGCCTGTGCCCACTGCCTCCCCGGAAGTCTCCCCCACCTACCGGTTTTGCCTGATCGGAGTGTACCTGGCCGCCTACCACTGTCACCCCTGGCCGCCCTCGGAACCTTCTGCCACCTGTGTGGGCGAGTGGTGGATATGCATGCATGCACACACATACCCCCATGGGTGAGGGTGCGCCCCAGCTCCGGGGCTGGGCCTCAGAGAGGGGCTTCTGCCTCACGGCCCTTGCTCCCCCCCCCTCGCGGAACCCCTCTGCCGTGACTCAGCCCTGACTCCAATGAGTGCAGGGCAGAGCACAAACCCCCTGGGTTTCCAAGGCTCTGGTCTTCATGGCCTCTTTCCTCCCGAGAAGCGTCAGCTGGGTTTGAACCACTGACTTTGGGTTCGTAGTGCTCTAACAAGGTACTCCCAGGGCCCCTGCACAGAGGGTACCTACAGTGTGTCTAAGGACTCTGAGTGGGACAAGCCAGGCGTGATTAAGGGGCAGAAGGAAAGACTGAGGTGTCACAGGGCGTGATTGTGGGTGGAGTGAGAAGAACTGGGGTCACAGGGGCTCCCCCATCTATAGGAAGGCTTGGTAAGCTTGTCGCGAGGAATCTGCCCAGGTCAGTGGTTCAGTGGCAGGAGGTGACATTTCAGAGTTGGCTGGGCTGCCCCCCTGGTGTCTTTGATTGCCCAGAGGTCGCTGGGCCAGGACCACCCCGGTGCCTCCCCACCTCTGGCAGGACAGGTCTCTGGACAGGAGCAGGGCCACAAGAGGACGCATTCGCTCTGCCCTTTAGCCGGCTCAGGGCTGTGGTGCTGGGAGTCACTAGAATAGAGAGCTGAGACTGAAGCCGGTCCACCGATGGTGACAGTGATACCAGCAAAGTGCAGGCATGTCAGCCGGCCAGGCCTGACCCCGTTTAACAACTGAGCACACAGACACAGTGACTTCCCTCACCTGCCCAGACACACACGCAGCCCCGGGCACGGCGCAGGTGCCAGCAGGGAGAACGAGGCATCTGACACTCGAGCCACGGTGGGTGCTCACTGGTGCCTGGGTCCCGACCTCCAGGCTCTGGGCTCTGCCGACGGTGCCCAGAGGTTTCTGGTCCTTGCTGGCGTGGACAGTCACTTGTGGACAGCCAGCCACTGTCCCCTGACGAACACGTCCACGAGTGTCTGTATGAGTATTGGGGGTCAGAGGGACATGCCCAGCCTGTCTTTCACAGAGTTGACATGTGCTCTGAGTGGACGGCCCCAGTGCTGCGCGTGCGTGTCCCCCGGCCACCTCGTCCTCACCTTATTAGAGTCAGGAACACACCCAGCCTGTCTTTCACAGAGTTGACATGTGCTCTGAGTGGACGGCCCCGGTGCTGCGTGTGCGTGTCCACCAGGCCTCCTCATCCTCACCCGCACTTGGCATTGCTTGCTTTGCTGGTGCTGGCCCGGTTGGTGGGTGTGGAGGGCCGTGTGTTGCTGGTTTGGACGTGGGTCTTTCTTCCGCGCTCGGTGATTATTGCTGCCCTGGGGACGCCAGGTCATGTGACTCGTCCCAGGGTGCCATCGGGCCGGACTTCCCGAGTGACCTGCAGCGGTGTGATGTCCTCGCCGTGGCACCTGCCGCCGGCCGAGCTGCGTTTCATTCTCATCAGCCAGCGGCGGGTCACTCACACCAGTACTTCGCCTGGGATGCAGGCGCCGGACCCTGGAGCAGCATGGCCCCCTTGCCGACGGCCCCTCTGACCCGTTCCTTTTCCTTCCTTTCCAGCCTCTGTACAACCAGCCCTCTGACACCCGGCAGTATCATGAGAACATCAAAATGTGAGTGCCCGGGGCTCGGGACGGGGCAGGGAGCAGGGCAGGGCTTGGCTGGCGCGAGTGCCCTCGGCTCTGGTGGTCAGGGAGAACCGGGAGCGCTGGCTCTCCTCCCTGGGGTTCTGGGTACTTGTAGGTTCTGAGTGAATCATCGTTTTCTGTCCCAATCATGACGGGGGGGGAAGGGACAGAGGGTGTGGAATTCAGTGAGATGTGGCCAGGATGGTGTCTGAGCAGGCCAGGGAGAAGGGCAGCCAGCCTGGGCTGGGCATGGTTCAGTAAGCTGGCCTGGGGGCCCTGGTCCTCGTCAGAGCTGGTCCAGAGGCTGGGACGGAGCAGGCTGTCTGAGCAGGGCTGCTGGAGCCTTCATTCATTGTGCGCTCACTCATCGAGTACCGTTGCTGTGCCAGGCTTTGAGAATTTAGCTGAAGACCATTGTCCTCCCTGAGCCTCCGTAGAATGCCGCAGACAAAGTGAGCAGTGAAATGGACAGGTTCCCAACCGTGCAGAGTGCGGCCAAGGCAGATCAGAGAGGCGGGGAGGTCGGCAGGTTCAGGCAGAGGCCTCCTGGGCAGTGGAGCGGCTCGTGCCAAGGCCTTGGGGCTGCCTGAACGGGGACAGGGATCACCGGAGCTGGTGTGACCTGAGGGGAGAGGAAGGAAGGCTGGCCGCTTGTGTCCGGCCTGGGGAGGTCTGGCCTCTGTGAAGGGCTGTCAGGTGTGGGCTCCACCTAAGAGTCAGGTGTCTGATTTCAAAGCTTGCTCTGGTGGCCAGAGGAGAGAGAGGACCAGATGGGAGCCCTGAGGCCACCATGGCCATCTGGGTGTGTGGTGGTGGCTGTGGCAGGGGTGGACCCTGTGAGACCCTGGCGTGGTCAGCTCCAGGCACCGTGCGTACACACGGCTTGTGTAAGGGAGAGGACCCCATGAGCCTGCCCCCCTGTGTGGCACCCAGGCCTTGGCGTGGCCCGGCCTCTCCTGTGCGTCCAGCTGCCTGGGGGCCTGAAGACAGGTCACCTCTTGGGCTGTTTTCCTCATCTGAGAAAACCTGACCGGCACACACTGCCAACTCGGTTCAGATTCACAGCGACCCCAGAGGACAGAGAGCTGCCCACAGGGCTCCCAAGGCTGTCCATATGGAGGCTAACTGTCTGTCTGTCCTGTGGAGCGGCTAATGGAGTCTGATCGCAGGTCTCTTGGGTCACAGCCAAGTGCTTAACCGCTGTACCACCAGGACGAGTCCTTCCCTGAGGGGTGTGGGGTGTGAGGACACCGTGGACGCCAAGTGCTGGCCAGGCACGTTCTGTTCTCTGCCCTGGTCTGAAGGCGTCGGGCGTCAGTGCTTCTTGTCCCTTCGTTTGACATGTCTGTTAGAACCTGCCGTGTGCTGTGCTGTGAGGGTCGACCCCTCAGCCTGGAGAGCAGGGGCTGTCACGTCCACCTTGTAGGGAACCCACCATGTGCCTGACACCCCAGTGTGGAGAGAAGGACCCTCACGTTCACCTCGCCTGACACCCCAGCATGGAGAACAGGGGCCCTCACCTCCTCCCCATTCAGAACCCGCTCTGTGCTGTGATGGGTCTGACACCCCAGTGTAGAGAGAAGAACCCTCACGTTTACCTCGTAGAGAACCTGCCCTGTGCAGTGATCGGGGCCTGACACCCCAGCATGGGGAGCAGTCACCCCATCTCAGGGTGACCCCGTGTGTCTAGAAGTGGAACTGCACACCGCAGATTTTGAGCGACTGGGTTTTCAAAAGGAGATCACCAGGCCTTGCTTCCATGGCACCTCTGGGTGGCCTTGAATTTCTAACCTTCCTGTTAGAAGCACCCTTGTTAACCGTTCCGGCTTTGGTGGTGAAGACGGTCACAGGTAATCACATCTCCCACACCACAGCAATAGCAGGAATCGGGTGCAGGCCCGGGGTGCAGGCCCTGTCCCCCGGGGTCACCCTGGCCGTCTCCTGCCGACCTCCTTGCTCTGCTGCGGTGGTGGCGAGGTGGTGGGCAGCCCCTGCCTGCCCCAGGGACCTCGCCGCTGTCACTTTGGCATCTCTCGGTAGGAGAGCCGGGCCTTGGCGTTACAGTTAATTTCACACTCGGCTTCACACTGTGCTGTCATGTCAGCCTGTGCCGGAGTCAGCTCTGCTTACCGTGCCGCCTCGTTCTCGGCCACCTGACACACTGACAGTGTTGAGGACAGCTAGCTGTCCATGTTCCCGGGGGCCACCAGCGTCAGGGTCGTCCTGCCAGACTGTAGCAGTGACCTTCAGAGCCCCAAGGCCTTGGGAGGCAGGGAAGGAACCGAGAGCTTCTGGTTTGAATTCCCCTGAATGGGGTGACGTGGACACTCCCTCACGGGACGGCCCAGCCTCTACAGGGCCTGCTGGGGATGCGTGTGATACAGAGAGGCATCAGGGTCTCAAGCATGGCGACTCCTCTGCTGGGTGGTCTTGTCCTGACCACACACCACCTCCCTCCCCAGAGCCCAAGTTTTGACTCACCCATCTTGCTCCGTGGAGGGGCTGGTGCATTTGAACCGACAGAGACGGAGGCATTTGGTTTGTTTTGGTTTTTTTTTTTTCATTTTCTAAAATTAGATTTTATTAATTTTCATAAACATTTACAGAGATTTTGGGATTCCATTCATTCATTGTTGCACTATTCTCTCTACCCTCCTCCCAGTTTGTTCTTGTCCAAATGCCACAGTGCTTGTCAAAGCCAGTTCTGATTAATCTTCTTTGTCAGTGTATCCTTTGCCATTCCCTATCACTCCTCCCTGAGAGAGACTTCACCCTGAGTCATAAGGAAAAGGGGATGGCGTATTCTCTTAGCTACTTCCTGCTGAAAAGGGACGCTGTGGGTTTCAGGGTGAAGATCTTCTCTCACTACTCTAAAGGGCCCCTTTGGCAGTAGGAAACACATAGACTATTATGGAGATTGATTTTGGAATTTAGACGGAGGCATTTGGTAGCATCGAATCATGCTACACTACCAGCACGCCTTTGCAATACCAAGGCACCTTCAGAAACTACCAGTGAAAGGAGTCGGGGTGGCAGAATCTGACCACCACTAACACCCGAGGGGGATGAGTTCGCATCACAAGATGAGCTGCACGGGGTTGGTCCCCGTGAGGCCAGACGTGCCCCCCGGGCACCCTTGACCGCTACGGCTCGGCCACCCTGCGCACAGTGGGTCTGACTCCTGCCCTGTTGCCAAAGTTGCACTTTAATCCCAAAGGCACACGGTCCCAATCCACCAGCCGCTCCGCAGGACAAGTCTGTCCAGTCCTTCTCCGTGTGATTTACGGCCTCCGGACACCCGCCTGAGGTCAGCTAGGGGTGGGTGCCTACTGGGCGTCACCCAGGAATAGCATTCATAAGCCGGTTCTCAGGGGAGAGAAGCAGATTCCTTTCTCTGCCGGGGACCTTGGAGCATCTGCACTCAGCGCTGATGTGAAGTCCAGCCCCGTGCAAGCCGTCCAGTGCAACAGTCCACACCGACACTCGGCTTCGAACCTCTTCTCTTCAGCTGGCCAGGCTCTGGTCCCTTCACCCCTAGTCATCCATTGCCAGGTCCAGCGGGCACCAGCCGGCGACTCGGGACCCACCCATCTTCTGCCCTTCACACAGGCGGTTCCCTCCCCTCCCAGCCTCAGTCCCACGCATGGGCTAAGTCAGCGGGTCAGGAGTCCTCACTGGTCCTGGCACTCAGGCCAGGGAGCTGCCTCTGTGCTTAGCATCTGCGTGTGCTCGGTGCCCCGGCCACGCTCTGCCTGTCTCCTCCTCCTCCACCACCTCTCGTCTGGTGGACCCAGCGCGTCACGAGTGAACTTCCCGGGCTGCCTCCTCTTCAGCTCCAGTTCTGAAGGGAGCTCCTAATGGTCAAGGCTTGTCCCTCGTCTGGTGGATCCAACGGGTCACGCGTGAACTTCCCGGGCAGCCTCCTCTTCAGCTCCAGTTCTGAAGGGAGCTCCTAATGGTCAAGGCTTGTCCCTCGTCTGGTGGATCCAACGGGTCACGCGTGAACTTCCCGGGCAGCCTCCTCGTCAGCTCCAGTTCTGAAGGGAGCTCCTAATGGTCAAGGCTTGTCCTGCCTCCGTGCATCCAAAGACAAAGCATTGGTCCGATTCTAAAATGTCACAAGTCCTCATTTTCCCTCCTGCAGGTCAAATAGAGATTCTTTCCCAGCTCCAGAGCCTAGGTACAACTATGTGTCCACTGAAAATGCAGATTTCCTTCCTGGGAAGAGTTGGGCGGAATGAGCGTTCATTTCGAAGGTGCCCCTGATCCGAGCTGACGTGTTTTCACTTGTTTCCTGTGCGTCTGAAAGCGAGGCGTTGAGTAAGGAGGGCAGAAGAAGAAGCAGCTGTGCCTTTGAATGGTGGTGAAGGAGAGGACTGACCGTCCCGTGGACTGCCCGAGGAACAGACGAGTTCTGCCGGGGAGTAAGTTCCGGGGTGCACCTTAGCGGCGAAGAGGGGGAGACTTCATCCCGTGCTCTGGGCTTGTTGTGACGAGTGGCCGTACCTCTTCAACCACCCCCTGAAAGAAACCGTGTCCATCAAGCGCAGTGGACACATCCCAGCTTTGTCCTCTCTTCTCCGCCCGTGGCTGTCCCCTGTCAACGTGTGAGTACGGGCTTGGGCCTCTGGATTCTGTTTGAGGCCCCTGTAACCAGGGTGCTTCTGAGAGACAAGGAAGGTGGAAGTCGGTCTCGCAGCAGAAGAGGGGAAGACCCTCCACGAGACGGATTGACACAGTGACCGCAGCCGTGGACTTGACCTGGGAGGAGCTCACGCGGGTGGCACCAGAGGGGGCACTCCCATGTGCACAAGCGGCGTGCCGGCAGCAGAGCCATACCTCCTGCGACAACACACAGAGAGGCAGCAAGAGGAGTGGCTTTGGCTGTGCTTGTCGGCCCCTGGCTTCCTGCTCTTACAAAGTCCTGTGCTTCCTTGCGTCTGGAACCATCGCCAGTGGCTTCTGACCCCCACGTCCGTGGAGCTGATTCTAGGTCATGACAACGCCTCATTGGGCTTCCAAGGCTGGAAACCTTGATAGGGGAGATTGCCCGCCCCGGAGCAGCTGATGGGTTGAGACTGTTGCCCACCTTTTGGTTAGCAGCCGGACACTCAGCGTGCCAAGCCACCGAGACCACCGTTAAGACCACCGTCGAAACCCTCAGACTCAGAGCTGACCCTCCAGGGGTGATCAGAGCACATTGCACTAAAGGGTCTCTCTCTCTTTTTCGCTGGGCAGCTGGTGGATTTGAACAACCAGCCTTTGCCATTCTTTACCACTCGTCCAGCAGACCTTCCTGAAGCCGACACAGGATGTCATAAATACCTGGAGGAGGTGCTTTGAGGCCAAACCCACTTTCTGTGTCTCATGTGTGGATGGACCTGGCATGTAGCCGAGAAGCTCTGGCGGGGAGGGGGGTTTTCACCCGGTCCCATCCCGTCTCCACGTCCAGTGGGTCAGAAGAGTCTGCTGGCCGCATTCGTCTCCTCACCCAGTGGTTTGCATCCACCGGGCTGGACGCGGGCCTCTTGACGCTGTTCTTTGCACCATCGTCTGGTGTGGGCGTTCCTGGCCTGGGTGCCGACCTCACCGGGACCCACAGGCTCGGCGGCAAGACCTCACCGGACCTGCACCATCTTTGCCATCATGTCACACTGGGGTGCCCAGCCAAGAACTGCAGTGGGGCCTCAAAAAGTCAAGAAAGGGGGCTTATTTCTCATACTGTGTGAAAAGAAAAGAAATCTGGGGGGGGGGGGGGGGGGGGGGACAGGGGAGATCCCGCCATCAAGACCCCAGGACGCTAAATGACCCCAGTGTTTGGTACATAGCAGAGGATTCACACAGGGTCTGAGAAGGTTCTCCATTAAGCTGCTAAAATGAGGCCCTCACCCATTTCTCTTACAGTCTTTTCTAATTTGACAAGCTCTGGTGGCCTAGTGGCAAGAAGCTGCACTGCAGTCCCAGAGGTGCACAGTTCGAATCCACCAGATGCTCTGCTGGAGAAGGAGGGGCAATCTCCTCCAGTACCAGCCAAATCTGACTTGATGGTACACGCACCAAAAAGAATTAAAACAACAACAAAAACCCACAAAGTCTTCTCTCACATGACGTGACCCAGGGATCTCATTTGTAGCTAAGATTCACAAGGATAAAAAAGGGCGTAAGCCTTGAGGAGGGCTCTTTTGTTACTTGCAGGGTCTGGGAAGGCCTGCAGACATCTCCTTGAATCCGCTCGCTCGGGTGTTGGCCGGGGTGCAGGGCTGGAGAGGAAGCAGGCCTTGCTTTTAAGTGGTCCTTTGTTCCCAGGTTCTGTGTGAGCCACATGGGGCCTGGCCAGGGGGTGGGGGTGGAGGTGTTTTCTCAGGCGGCACTACTTTGAACTCCGTTCCAGCTCAGTACACAGCCGTGTCTGCCAGATACCTGCAGAGTGCGTATCTGCTCACAGACAGACCACGGCCTGCTGCGATTGCCTTCTAAACTAGGAAGGAGTTCTCATGGCGCAGTGGGTTAAGTGTTAGGCTGCTAACTGAAAGCTCGGTGGTTCGGACCCACTGGGCACTCGGTGGGAGAAATATGAGGGAGTCTGCTCTTGTTAGGATGTACAGGCTCGGTCTGGGGGGCGGTTCTGCCCTGTCCTATAATCAGTGGCACTGCTTTGGGTTTTCCAGGACTCGTCCTCTGGTACGGAGACGACAGCAGTGTGTTGTGACCCAGGGCATTTTCATTGGCTGGTGGAGCAGGGCGGAGGTCAGAGGAGGGGGCAGGATGGGACAAGCGTCCAGTGTGTGGTGGTCTTGGGGTCACTATGAGGCATCGTTGACTGAGGGCCGTTTAGTAGGAAGCACAAACAGCTGTTGGAGGAGGCTTGCCGGGTCTCTCTCCCTCATCTCCGGGAGTCCGACTTGCGGCCTTTATGGTGCTCTGATGCTGCCTTGCCCTCCAGCTGCACTTTGAGGTTGGCTCTGGCATCTGCTGGCATTTCCTTTGACACGTCCTTACTCTCTGGCTCTTCGGTGCTCGACACTCATCTTGGCGTTTCCTGCCTTTATAGAGAATTGTCCTGGGAATGCAGGTCCGGGGCTCACATCCTCCTGGCACCCGAGACAGTGCTGCTGCTTCTGGGCTCGCTCAGCTGTCCTTCCATCTTTGACGAGCCCACTCCTCTCCCAGGGTCTGCATCTGCCAGTGAGCTCGTGCCCTGCCTGACCACGTGGAGCTTACCTGCCCACTCTCTGTTTTCTGTGAGGCCACCCCAGGGCCTTTGCACTTGCTGTACCTGATGTCCTGCCCGCCCACTCCAACCCTTCTCTAGCTGGCTCTTCCAACGAGCCCATCTTCGAGTTTGAAGGCGCCACATCCTCTCCCTCTGACTGACCAGCAGTGCCCAGGATGGGCGGCCAGATGAGGGTCCTGCCCAGCTCTCAGAGTATTGGTGGTACTGCTGTGATCTGGCATGACCCTTGCTGGTCCAAGGCTGATAAGCTTCCCTGTGACCAGTGTCCTGCAGCAGGAGGAGTTTATGGGGGCCTGGCGGGCGTCAGGGGTGGCAGCTCACGGGGGTTGCACAGTGCCTCGGCCCTCAGAGCTTCTTGTCTGCAAGACCACTCAGCTGGGTGCAGTGAGGGCACAGTGGCTGTTAGCAGTCAGCGGGCCCACCAAGAGTGGCTCCTGCTCTGCCCAGGAGTAAGACCCCCACAGACCAGCGCCCACAGATGGCGCCCCTTGGGGGAGACATGCCCCACTGACGGCCCTCCTACTCCCCCCCCCCAGAAACCAGGCGATGCGGAAGAAGTTAATCCTGTACTTTAAGCGGAGGAACCACGCCCGGAAGCAATGGGTGAGTCCACATGCAATTGGGTATCCTCACGTCCAGCCCCACGTGTGCACCTTTGCTGGACTGTGTTACTGCTAGCACCGTGCCAGGCTTCAGGGAAAGCCGAGGGCAGTGAGGGGGCCCTGGAGAGGAGGCGGTGGCTTTCGTCAAGTCAGGCTCCTTTTACATGTTGTTGGGGCACCCAGCAAGTTCTGAGGGTGAAGGTTCAAGACCCAGCAGAGATAATGATAGGAAAACCAAGACAGCCCAGGGATGTCCCTGGTACCTGCCTGGTCCTCATGGGGCCATCACCTGTCACTTTGTCCCTTATGAGTCCTCCAAGCACCTTGTCTGTATGTGGCCCCCAGAACAGGAGCTGGGTCCTGCCCCCCACCTCGAGGCCATCTGGGTTTGTGGAGGACAAGGTCACAGCATGCCCTTGGGTGACGTGGAAGGGGCAGGCTCTGGTTACGGGGACGCCAGACCATGGAGAGGGCGCTCAGGCGAGGTGCATGGGGCTTGCCATCTGTCCACACAGCTGCTCGGGACAGGAATGGGCCTCGTGGCCGGCCAGACGGCCTCGCCTGCTCTGGGCCCACATTGCCTTGGAGACAGAGAGACCAGCCAGTGCTTGGCTGTGCAGAGTCTTCTGGGAGGCTATTGGTCCAGACTGCAGCAGGCAGCACTGCAGTTAGACCTGGCGGGGACTTCCCTGCCCTGGACTGATGGGAGAACCCAGCTGAGCAATCTAGAAAGTGGCTCCTGCCCGAGGTCCCACCCAGACCTGGCACTGGGACCATTTTGTACAGCAGTGAACATGCTGTTCAGCTGCGCTGTCCATCTTGGGTAGTGGCCACGAGCGTGGGTGGGTGCCGAGCCCTCACGTTGTGGCCGAGCCGACCGAGGATGGAATTTTATTTTTATTTCTTTCCTGAGATTAGAGTTTGAAGCTGGTGGCTTCTGAGTGGAGAAGGAATGGGGTTAGGGTTAAGGCCTGTGGAGAACAGCCGACTCCAGACAGGGCTTCTGCTGCTGTGGCTTCACACGTGTACGCGTGCCTGTGCAGGTCTGCGGCAGCCTGCGCGCGCGCGTGTGTGTGTGTGTGTGTGTGTGTGAGAGAGAGAGAGAGAATATGAATGAATGAATGAATGAATGAGCAAGCGAGCACACGTGTGCCCGTCTGCCTGTATGACCGTGTGTGACTCCAGGGATGTGTATGTGCCCGTCTGTCTTACTGGGTATCTACCAGCTTTTGTGTAACGCCGTGTGTATCTCTCTTCCTCTGTGCTCGTCTGCTTATATGACTCTTGATGTGTTTGTAGGACTTTCTCTGACAATCTGTAATTGTGTGACTGCGTACAAGTGTGTGCATGTGGCGTGTATCTGTGTGAACACGTGTACACATGACTTCATGTATGTAGGTGAATTAGTGTGTGTGCGTATCCACCCATGGCTGTGTGTGTGTGCATGTCCACGCGCGTGTGTGTGTGTGCAGATGTGCACACGGGCACAGGTGCATGTGCAGAGCAGGTTTGGACCGTGGGGCAGGCAGGACACAGTGCCAGCCGTGCGCTCAGGGCCCCCCGTGCACCCCCAGGAGCAGAAGTTCTGCCAGCGCTACGACCAGCTCATGGAAGCATGGGAGAAGAAGGTGGAGCGCATTGAGAACAACCCCCGGCGGCGGGCCAAGGACAGCAAAGTGCGCGAGTACTACGAGAAGCAGTTCCCGGAGATCCGCAAACAGCGAGAGCTGCAGGAGCGCATGCAGAGGTGAGCGGGCCACGCCGGCCTCCGCGACCGTGCTGCCCGCCTGCCCACGCCACGGCCCACGGCGCTTGTCCACTCTTTGGTCTGCTGCCTCTTACCGCGAGATACGCACAGGCCGGGTCACTGTCAGAACAGCTCTGTGTCGCGGGGTCTCCAGCTGGTGACCCCGGGCTGTACCATCCGCACTCTGTGGCCTTGACGAGGTGCTCCGATGGGGCTGACCACAGGGGGCCTGTGCTGCTGACCCAGTGCCAGCACCTCTCGCAGCTCAGGTCCACCAGGGGCTCCTGGGGTGGAGGGGTGGGCAGCTTTGACAGCCTTGGGAACCCTCTCGAGGGTCAGCGGGGCGTCCGTTCTGATAGGACGGCAGTGAGTTTGACCTGGCCCTGGCATGTTTGAGCCTTGAAGACACTTAGACTTGGCTCTGCACACCTCGTCTGCGTGGCTCGCACGACACTAAACCATCTGAGTTTGAGATCCAGGAATGTCAACACAGTTCCACGTGGCCAGGGGCGTGGGCCTTGGCGCTGGGGACCGGTGGAACCCTGTGCAGAGGCCCAGGGAGCCGGCTCCCAGCGTGGTTTTCCCGTAGTGACCCAGATGAGGTGACAGGCCTTGTGAAGTCTCACTGAATTCCTCACCTGCCTGTGGGAGCCAGGGCCCCTGGCACAAGGGGGACCCAGGGCCCCTGGCACAAGGGGGACCCAGGTCACTGGAACCACATCCTGCGTCTGAAGAGGCAGAGCTGCCTAGGACGCAGTCTGCATGGCCAGGCTGTTGTAGGTTCTGTCCTCTTAGGGCAGGGGTCCTAATGTTCCCGGGTCAGCATAGGGTCCTGCCCTGGCCCCTTTGCTCAGCCTGGGGCCACCTGCTGGTCCCAAGAGGCCATGGCCCTTTGCTTTCCCTGGTCAGCCACGCCCTGAGCGTGTCCCCCCCCCGTGCTCTAGAGCAGGGCAGCGGGTTCTCTGTTAGTCCTGTGTGTGCCCTCTCACTGTCCGCTGGCCAGAGTGGGCTCCCCGTGTGAGTCCTGAGTCTCCCCGTCTTGTTGTCTGGGCCCCACAATGGTCCTGA